CCTAAGGTCAGACTGACCTGCAACATCACACACTTTACAGAGTATACCCTTACCATAGTGACCGGGTGTGTCAATGCCATAGCTAAAACCAGTTACTTAGTAACTGGCACTAACAAAACATGGCAACACGTAGAAACTAGTATGAATGGGAAAAACACAAAATTATAGGAGGAGAAGATCATATCATGATCAGGAGAAGAAGCAACCAAACAGAACAACACAAAGGATGAGGCTTTGGCAAACAGCTTAGGCAAACTATTAACGCGAACTTGGAATTCCAGACATATATCCTGGACGTAAAGTATTCCGATGACTGTGTTTAACACACGCTCTTCTTGTGCACAAAGTGCTTTTAATTTAAGGCTGTAATAAAAAAAAAATGTAGATTAACTTATTAAGTGACACATTGTCAACAGAACATTAGGGCTCGCACTACCAGAGCCATATTTGATATTTGGAACATATATCTCTGTATAACCTTCTTCAAAAGACATTAGACGGTACACATAGTCTGCTAGTAACAAAATAAAGGCACATGTTGTAGTAGATTATCCTAATCATTGGAATTCCCAACGTAAAACAAATTATCAAAAGCAATATGCACCAGTGCACGTGTATTAATGATATTTAGCACAACCCCTTCATTTATCACGGCGTAAGAAGAACTGAACAAAACATTACATGTTAACTGCACTTTTGACTAGGTGTTATGTCAGAATATACAGTCAGATATGGTTTGAAGGGATTGAAACAGTTAAATCGTTCCCAAAGACTTCAATAGCGTGGTCTATATTCCATTTCCGGCTTTCCTCCACCACCAAAACCTGGCACGTCCTTAAATGACCATAGCTGTTAATAGGATATAGAACGTTAATAAACCAACTTAAATCAATGTATTCTGCTATCTGTATTCAATTATGCAATACAACAGATTTTATAGTCTCAACCCAATAAACAGTTTGTCATTTAATGAATATTCTACACTCCAAGTCAATCGTGGCTAAGAGATATTTGAGATATCATATGGGTTTTTTCTTTTCGTACACTGTACAGCTTTTTAGCATAACCAATGACGTTAAAATCATTTTAATAGATCCAGAATATTTACTTATCATCGTTTACATACAAAGTAGATATGATAATCGTTATACACACGTGCACATTACGATGAAAAACAACTTAAAAAATGGGATAAAAATATAAAAGTTAGTTGGTGTTTTTGTGACCACCTGGAACGGACACTGATTAATTATAATATGGAGATCACTTGTAATGCAATATTCTCACCGTGGTTTTTTTAATAAGGCTTTAGACATTTAAAAGTGTTTGATACCGCTCTTGGCATCGGGGAAAACTTGTCACGGGTAATTAATTAAATAAACTAATATTGTTTATCTTTGTGGGGGCCTTCCTGGCATTACCACTCTTCTGATTCTTAGTTAATGAGATAAGAACGTGTATTACTGAAATACCAACAGAGGAGAGGTGCCTAAGGGATTTTTTCTCTTTTTTGAAAAGTATGATTCAACAATAGTGACCTGCATATTTACCTGAGTTCATCGAACAGTATCAGGATGGATGCCAGGCGTGGGGTCGGACACTCTTATACTTCCGGTAAACCTGGTTCCGCTTCCGGTTTTTATTTCAGTTTTCCTAAAGTCTTTCGCTTCCGGTTCCTATTTTAAAGTTTGTGAAGTGTTTCCTTGCATTCTCTTTTGTCTCATGAGCTGTTTTAATCATACTATTTATTTGTTTCTTTACAATAATTTTTTGCCGTTTTTCTTTTTTTGTTTAATTTCTTTCTTCTCTTTTTCTTTGTTTTTCTCATTTTTCTTGGGTAATCATTTTGAGTTTAAACGTTGTCTTTGTGTATTTACGACTATGGTTTGGTTCTATTCAGCTGAGTTATATCATCGTTTACGTTTTTTGTATCTCCACCGTTCGTGTTACTTGAATAGATTCATGTACAAGGTAACAACAATAAATATAGAACGTTGCTAGTTGCAGTGTACTAAACAATCGACGTATTCAAAATCGATTGAGCTGCTACCCTACAGCGTTTCACTTTTACCTTAATCCCTTCACTGATGATTTACCGATTCATCCCGTTTTGTTGGCAGGACGCTTCATGTGTCGGCAGTATTGACCTTATATATTATTGAACGTTACGGAACCTAGGAAACTCCAGTACGCATCGCCAGTTCACATTGTCAGCTTTCATCGCATGGGCTCTGTGTTATACAACGAATACACATATGTTACATGTGGCCCTATCTCATTAAATGTATAGCATTATGACGTCAGAACTTCAACATTAAACGTGACGTCGTGATCTTATGACGTCACATTGAAAACAATAAACATGACTTCAAATCACGATGTTGAAAACATGACGACGAACACTTTTAAAAGGTCTTGTGGTACATAAAATATTAAGCTCGTTTAAATTTTATATGAAACATGTTATACTCGTCCCAAAGATTTCCTATCGCCAATTTCATATGTAATTGAATATTTTCAAGATTCTTTATTCATTACTTGTTTACAAGTGAAACAAAGAGAGGCTACTTAATGAATGAATGTTAAATATCATTTATATACTGTAAATTTACAAATGTTAGCGGTATTATTATTCTAACACTTTTGCGCTCTAAATTTTGCGCTAAATCATAGCTGCGCTAAATCAAGGTTATGCATATAGTTTCCTGTTGCAAATATTATGAGTGCGCCAAGCCAATTCATCAATGCGCTGATCTGTCAAGATTCGATATTAAGCTTGAATTTGAGCTGGCTTAGATAGCGCTTTTACAGTATTTTACATGTTTTGTTTCGATAATAATATTTTCACAAGTGGCAAGCACTATGAGATTTTCACTGACCTATTCTGACAACCGCTAAAGTTAGTTATATAATTATAGTAAACGGATAACCCTCAAACGTTTTATCATCACATTGTAGTAACTCAAAACTATCAAAACTATCTTTCCAAATTTGCGTTAAGTAGTTTGCCTTTATCTCATGATGATTCAGTGACGTCATTTGACGTTAATGCTGCTGAGTGCCGTTTGTAAATGAAAATGACGATTTTGTTTATCGAATATAAAGTTGGTTTATGCAGATGCTGTATATCTATATTTATTAAATCTGAACATTCATGTACGTCATGACAGTCTCCATTTTGCGGAAGGCGAAGTGACACACTTCTCATTGGCCAATACTTACATAAAGGCAATATCATGTGTCATTGCTTTGACATGAATATCAGGTTTTGCACCAGATTATAGATGCTTAGGAAAGCTCCAACTAAAACTGAGTAAACCATAATTTCAGGAAATACAACGTGTATACTGTAAGAAGACGTAGACGAGAAACCAGGTTATTTCGAGCGGTAGTTACTAAAATGTGTATCAAGTAATTGTGGACACCGGAAATCATGTCATGATGCAGAGTAGATTGGTGACTCTCAGGTAGGAAACCCTGGGTAAGTAAATTATGAATCAACTGTTTCATGTACATCTATACATTAATTCCCGATACCTAAAACAGGTTTTAAATAAAGGAAACAGTTATCGTGTGTAAATATGGAATCTCTGAGAGATGGAGAGGATCGCCATGTGTACTGCTGCGAATAAGGAAATGTAGTGATCGTTAAATTAAAACTGTCATAATATCAGTTAAATGCTAAGAAAGCAAGAATAAGGACAGTACTATTAATCATTTTATTTTTTGCAAAAAGTTTTATATTCCAAATGTTTTATTCGCGAAAAGTAGAAAATTTGTGAAGACTTCCTGCAACGTTTAATTGTGGTTACAAGTAAATAAATATTCGCGAAATTTCTTAATTTGCGTTCGGCTGTTATCGCGATTTGTACTGTCGATAGTAAACATACCGGGGTAATAAATGTGATATACCGCATCAATTCGGCCAGTCACGCTTCAACAGTTAACAAAATCGATTTGGTCGCCATAGTAGCTATGCAATGGCCGGCCCAAACATGTTTAGCTCAGATATCACCTTTATAGACTGTCAATTCAGTCGTTCAATGCGTGGCTTTTAGAAACGTTATATACATGATTTCCTCCTTATTTTGATTATCATCAATCATAGTCAAGGAAATAGCATTAATTATATATATATTGCGCTCGTGCATGCGACCTTCAAAGTATTCACATCAGTAAAAGATTTACAATTATTTTTGGTGAAAGAAGCTACCGCTCTGATGAATGACAGCCGGTATCCATCCGTGCACAAAGAACATATTTCATTTGTTATATTTAAAACGCATTAAAATAGATTGTTTTGTCCTGGTAAAAGTATTATGTTTTCTAATAATGGCAAGGCATTGGTGTATTTGGCAGAAAATCGCAAATATGAAAAGGCAACAACTACCCTGCCTTATATATCATTAATAAGCTAGCATGAAATTATATTAATTAACGATAAAAGTAAAAATTAATATATTTATTGTGATGAAATGCTGAGTGAGGTATTAACTTCTATATATAGTTCGTATTGTGCTATGGCATTGTTAATATATAACCCTACAAAACTCATATGGTAATTCTATTAGCTCTGAATACAAAAGACCACGTGCTGATAATGTCTTTTCTATGAGTGTGAATGTTTAGTTCATTAAAAAGCCCAAACGATTGTACCTATTGGAATGAAAACTGCAATTTGGAAAAAAAATATGAAATTTTATGTGTGTACGTGTGTGTGAGAGAGAGAGAGAGATGGTGTGTATGTATGCTATGTATGTATGTATGTATGTATGTATGTATGTATGTATGTACGAACGTATGTATGCATGCATGTATGTATTATGTATGTATGTATGTATGTATGTATGCATACAAACATACATACATGCACGTACGTATGTATGTCTGACTTGTTCCGCCCATGTATAACGAGTGTGAGCATTTTTGTACTGAAGATCCAATTGATGTTATTTTTCATAACCATCTTCAACCATATACGTATACATGTATGTACTTACCCCCGCCGTTTCTGTAGCATAGGTAAGGGAACCTCCAGATGTTACCAAGCCCGACAGCGAACCCTATACAAGACAGCAGGAACTCCGAGTTCCTCGCCCACTGGTCCCGCACCATCACAATTTACAATCTTAATTCCACACGGAAAGTTACCTCCCAAGGAAACGCTTAGAGTTCGTATAAGACAGGCAATGCCGTGAGGAAGCAAGGAAGATGTAATACCAATAGTTTAGAATGTTGCTGATAACATGAATCCTGCTGATGTAGGTAAGCAAACGTGAACACCTATAAAACAGTACCCTAGTAACACTGATTTAAGTGTAGAAGGCTAAAACTTATATGGTACAACTTAATGAATTAAACGAGATTTAGCTTGACGAAGCAAATATCGATTCTACCACACACGGGTACACTACAAACAACGATTGCCTTGATCAATACACGACTATGATACTGAATGAAAACAATCCGTGGCGCATATGTATATCTGTATAGCTTTTACCTTCCACTGTGTGTGCTAGTACCGTCCGCGCTCACCGCGCACTGGTTATGATGAAGTTAAGATAATGAATGTTCTAGCTTGCCTGTCTACACAATTGCACTACATCCGAGCAAAATTCAAGAATCATCTCACTGCTGATGATATATGTTTACACTCCCTCCTAACAAACTTTAACCTTAATGTGGCAAAAGAAACCACGCATTGAAACATTATAGCGACCACTTTGTAACATACGCTAACGGTCCTGTGCTGACATTTAATTTATCAATGGTCGCGTTGTGCCTAGAACCACCGTCAACATACGATACAACGGGAGTATTTAAATACGAGAGGTGAACCTTATTATACTAACTCTCTAAATTAAATACATACACGCAACGGAAGGGGATATAAAGAGGAGGCCATGTTTTCTGTGCCACACTATGTACGATGCATGTACATACTTCCATACGTTATATATATTTTACTACAATTATTAAACAAGTTATTAAAGTTTATATTAATCACACTTGTTGATACGGATTTTAGCATGCGCGGGTCTTAATGTGAGAGGTGAACCGGAGTACCCGAAGAAACACCCACGTGGTCGGGCAGGCGTTCAGATACCTTTTTCATGTCCGATCAGGAATCGGACCCTGGCCGCCTTGGTGAAAGGCGAGTCCTTTATCCACTGCGCCACCTGACCACACATATGTTTGTATTAACACATAGACTGCTTGCCTGTACAGAAAGTCACATTAACGTTAAGTGCGTATGTGTACTATGCATGGCGTAATCTTATTTCGAATCTTGAATATTACACGCATTGTCTATTTATAGCCGTTTCTACCTGGTACAGTGTAAGAATGTTCATTGGAACATGCGTTTAAGACCACGACGTAAGGACCCACGTACTTCTGCCAAAGTTTTAGACATGCATTGGAATTTTCCCGGCATGGCTTTAACTTTAACGAATCATTTATGAAAAGAACACCATATCCTGCTTAACTTAAAGAAACGAATAAATGAATAACAAATAAACAAAAAGGAAATATTTAAAAAATGCATTTTGAGTGTAGAAAATACAATTGGGTAAGAGAAGGATTCGAACCCTTGACATCCGACGTTAATACTTTACCTGCAACTATCTTACTTATACTTGGTCAACGGTAGTTCCTTGATCCTAGATTCTTTTGATGTACATCAAAGGATCGAACTAGTCGTCTTGTCTCATCAACAAGGTAGTGCACACGAAACCTCCAATATTGTTATGACGTATTCCAGGGGTGCAGAGAGCGAAAGTCAAGGTAACCCCTGGAGTGTCGAGGATGTTCCTTAATATGAAAATCTAAAAAAGAAATTATTTTATGATTTAACTGCAGTGAGACAATGGTACACAAATAACATGTATGGGAGGGGCATGGATAAATTGGTTGGGATTGAGCGTTTAATAAAACCACGTGCAGATCCTAGATTCAACTTATAATAATAATATACAACATTTATATAGCGCCCTATATAATTTGTTAAATTACTCTAAAGCGCTGTACAACATATGGATACTAGTAATGGTTAAAATTGTGAAAACAAAAAACAAAGGCTTACAATCACTTTTATACATTTAAGCAGGCATTGTGCACATCATTGAACAAATAAAAGGGTAGTGTTTACATGACGTCTTTGCAAGGATTCTAAAATGCAGACGTGAAGAGGTGAGTTTTGATGTCCCTCTTAAACTTGGCCAGGGTATTTAACTTTCTAATAGCAGATCGTAAGCTATTCCACAACGTAGCCGAAACACTCCCAAAGCATCTGTTTCCGTAGGTCACAGTACGGGATTTTGGGACACACAACAGAGAGTCTGACTCTGACCGCAGTGATCGTGACGGCTGATACAGGGTAACAAGCTCCTGTACTGAGGAGCTGTTCCATTCAGTGCCTTGTATGTGTACCCCTGAATTTTGTACTGCGACCTGTATCGTACAGGTAACCAGTGCAACGAATAAAGCGCAGGTGTGATGTGCTCTCTCTTTCGAGTACGAGTAACAAGCCGTGCTGCAGTGTTGTGGACCCTCTGCAGACGACTAGTTAGTTTGTCAGATATACCACAGAGCAGGGCGTTACCATAATCCAACCGAGAGGTAACAAGTGAATGCACCAAATTCTTGCATGCATCTGCAGTTATAAACTGCCGAACCTGGTAGTAACAGGATTTGGCAATAGCGTTCACTTGTTTCTCCATGTTCAGTGAACTATCAAAGTATACACCTAGGTTTTTAACGGCTGGGACTGTCTCAATAGTTCTGGCACCGACCTTGAGCAGGGGAGCCATTGTTTGTTGACACTTTGGGGAAAAGACGATTAGTTCCGTCTTTTCCTGATTAAGCTTAAGCATGTTGGCGTTCATCCAGGTACTGACATCCGTTAGGAGACTTTCTGTATTCCAACTGTTCTGTGGTTTGATGACCATGTACATTTGTGTGTCATCTGCATAGCAATGATAGCGAAGGCTATGTCGACGACAAATCTCTCCAATCGGTTTGGAGTACATACAATATTAACACCGACCCTTGAGGAACTCCGAAATCTAGTACTGTCATGTGAGGTGGAAGATCCGATGGCAAAATAATCGTATATACAGTCACCTCCCCTTAATTTAGTTTTGAATATAACTGTAGAGAGCCAAGAGGACAATAATAACAATTTGGGGTCCTTGGTTCGAATCCTGATTAAAGTAAAGAGTCAGTGATCTAATACACAGAGCCGCCTCAAGTTGAAATATCGTTTATCGTGAGAATTTCGTGTAATATCGGACGCGCTTATTTATGTATTTCACTAACTACAATACATGCATTTAAAAGATCTTTTGATCAAGTAAAGAGTCGATGTGCTACACATCGTGCCGTCTCAAGGTTTGGTTTCATAAGGTTTACCGTCCTATCAACGGCTAAGGTCATTTAAGGACGTGCCTCCATGTGTGTTGTGTAAGCGTGTATGTGTGCCGGAGACAGGTTATGTTAGTGTACTTGCCTTCTTTTGATAGCGCGGAAGTGATGCCGACTTTAGTTTAAACTATGTTTTATTTCATTTCTTTTTTATGTCATACATAATATACATAAGTTAATACAGGTTTCAGGAAAAAGGGTATTTGAATATTTATATGAATCTGTCTCCTTAATTAATGACAAGCGGATGACAACACTACAAATCGAGAGAGAGAGGTGTGTGCGTGTGTGTGTGTGTGTGTGTGTGTGTGTGTGTGTGTCTGTGTCTGTCTCTGTCTCTCTCTCTCTCTCTCTCTCTCTCTCTCTCTCTCTCTCTTAAATCGTGACTTAATGAAATTACAAACAGTTGCTACATACAAATGCCGACTTTATAGTGCTTTCTCGCTGAAATACCATGAAACACCGAAGACTCCCAACACAGTATTCCACCCGGTCACATTATACTTACAACGGCTGAACCAATTGTGGTCATTCCCCTAAATCCAGAATGTTAAGCAGGGAATAACAGCTACCATTTTTTTAGGAACTTGGGGATGTCCCGGCCTGGGGACAGAACCCACTCCCTTCCTCACCTGGGCAAACGTTCAACATTAAAGACAAAGGTCAGGTATTGCCAAGCAAGGCGCTAAGAAATAAAAGGCAGTGATACATAGAGAGATTTATCGCAATTGGTGCACCAGATGGTGTGATATCGTCAGAGTATGAGGATCCATAATAACAATGAAAATATTGACTTGAAATACTAAAAAATGAAGCTTCTATTTAAACAAAATTATTAATCTATATGCAAACATTCAAACAAAGTAAAAATGTTATTATACTATATTGTTATTTCGTCCATTTAGTACTCATCAGTAACACGAAAGGGCATTTAAAACAAACCGCCTTGTCTAAAATGTTCCGAAACAACTTTAGCCCAGTTTCAAGTGAAGGATATCACAAAACATTTTACATTTTATTGATGTGCGTGTGGAGGAAGCAATGCGTGCTTTCACCCCTTTTTTCCTGAATTCTATAAGATAAAACCCTTTAAAAAGAATTGAAATGTTCAACTTTGGGCTACAAACTACAATATTTTATGTAAATCTGCTAGTAAATTCCAGCAAGAGGGCTTCGACCATCCTCGAGGACTGATAGACATTTACCACACCGTTGCATAAAACAATCACAAGAAACACTATTAAAAGAAACCCATTTTTGATGGACCTGTTTGTTAATGTAATATACACAATTGACGCTTCATCAACAGTCATCGCTTCTGACGTTATACGTTTATACTTAAACAATGGTTATTGAACCTGTCATAGAATGTTTCTCGTTTGATATTTTCTGCTTCCTGCCCTTCAACAGTCATGTTGAGTGGAAAATGTGTAAATTATATGTCGTGTCTTTTCGATTTGCTGCAATGAAGAACAAGTCAAAACATCTTCAATTAGTAACATTCTATGAAATTTGATAAATATATTTTCCCTTTGGAGACTTCTCTAAATAATTTATTATGCATTGTTTAGAAACATAACAAAATATTGACCCATTAGTATATATATATGTAACTATATTACAACACTCAAAATACTGAATATTAATTTGATAGAATGGGTAATGGCCATTTATCAACATGGCTGTTTTTTTGGTAACATATGTGATATGCCTTCCAGTGCTTTCACTTTTTACAACTGAAAGAGGTATTCAACACTTCATGAAAACACCCTCACTGGAAAATAATAAAAATCATAACAATACGATATAGAACCTGTTGTGGATTCTACGAAAGTAAAACAGTTTTTGCATGTAAAATCATAGGGATAGACCAGGGCCCATATTCATGAAACTGTTCTCATGTTCAAGCATGGGTTTTGTGCCGAAACCTTCTTTATCGTAACTCACCTAAATGATGTCAAACAAGCAAAACGTAAAACGTAAACATTAAAAGTAGTACTCGGCTTTAAGTCTCTTCAAAACATTTCAAAATCATGGCCAAAAGAAGATTTTATTATTTAGTTATAACCGGAATACGAAATCAGGCTTGAGCACAAAATCCATGCTTGAGCATGAGAACAGGTTCATGAATACCGGCACTGGAATTCAGCTTTTGACTTCGACCGTTATAATGTGGCTGTAACCCACTGATCTACATAGTAAACGGTAGTACCCTGGCCTACTTGAGTTACAGATATATCCAAAAGACAATTAAGGGAAGTTTATCGTGTTGAAAAATGTGGTATTCTTCAGATTTTTTGCCTGCAATGGGATACAGATCTTTAATTTAAATTGAGTATAGTACATTCAAAAGTTCTATCGCTACATTCATGAGACATAATCTAAAACTATTGCGATGAG